AGGTTAAGGCATGTGTTCTGATTTGTGGTCAATAAGTCATAACCAAAATATTCCAAGGCACACTACTTGAAAATGAAAAGGGCCTTTAATATACGGGCTAGACGATCATGGTCATCAGGCCTTTGAAGAAGACGTGCAGGCGTCTAGCCCATTTAATAAAAGCTTTTTAATTTTCATAAAGCAGTGTGCCTAGGATGTTTTTCTTTATGACTTTATGCTCTTTACCACAAAGAGCACAAGTCTAACCTCTCCTGTTTTTTAGCTGTATGATCTTTCTTTGTATCCAAAGAGCTTCTGTCTTTGAAAGCTTAATTTGTGAAGTAGCACTCTTCTGCTATTTTATCGGCATTTTTTCTTCATTTTAAGAGTTTTGTTGTAAATAATACAAATGCAATGTCTTCACCTTGTATCTCGGGTGCCCAAGTCCAAGAAGTGTAAATCGTAGTGTTCTTGTGTCTGTGCTAAAGTTTCAGAAATAGGCATAAGAAAATAAATTATTTGAGTCATTTTGTCACATTTAAGCTTGTAAAGGAGATGTGATATCCACTATATATTCACTGTGGAAGGTTAGCAGATGTAACAGTGTGATTATCATTATGATTTACCTAAAGTAGCTGATGGATTTCAACCTGATTTATTTGAAGCATCTTTGTCACTGTATTGCGTCGTATTGACTTTTGCCAACAGACTCTCTTTAACAATGTGTAAGTGATGGATGTTGAACGTCTGGGACGGCTGTCTGGGTTTGATCATTTTGTGAGGGACTGTAAGCCTTTCTGGACTATTAGTATTTTTTTAATGGATTGTTCAAAGTGCTGTTTATGTGTGTGTGGTGTTTTGGTGTCAATTTATTTGATAAAATGTGATGCTGTTACATTGTTTTAACCTTGCAGAAGCATTATGCAACAAATCATTGGATTTTGTCTGTTTGTTGTTAGTGTTTTACCGTACTAAAGCCGGACACATTGATCCCCCCCCTCCCCCCTTCTTCTTTAAAAGTGAGTGTGCTGTTACTGTTGGAGTTTGTCCTCCAGATGTCTCTGTGAACTCCAGATGCTCTCAAACGCTGTCTGGTATGATCATCCCTCTTCATTCCCACTAACAATTAGGTAATGAAATATTGATTTTTAGTTAGATTCATATTGATGCTATTAGCTTTGCATTGATAAATCACTGATGCTGGAAGCCAGAGCAGGAAGACATTACTGTGTGTTAATCTGATGGATCTGCTGCCTTCTTTTCCCTCTCTACCTGGACTGTCACACTTCATCTTTACTTTGTTTAAAGCAGCTTCATAATGACGGTGTGATCAACTTCTTTTTTCACTTTATTCAAGGTCTTTTTGTCGGTCATAAATTGAGGAACTCACTGTTAAGATTGAAACTTTAAAAGCATTTTAATATTGAATGTGATCTGATGTTCTGAGTCGAGTAAACAAAGGTAAGTGGAAGAGACACGAAAATTGACTTTTAAAGCCTATAATCCCAAACTTTATATTTCCAATTTCTTTGCAATGAATTGGCACTTAAAGCATCTTTGTACAGCACACAAGTGCCAAATCACATCTTTGACCCCAGTAACTTTAGTGCCAGAACAACATTTTCAGTCACCCCGAGTGACTACCAGGTATCCTCCTCATCATCAGTGTCCACCTGACTGAGGCAGAGCTCAGTGATGGAGCCCATTGTCCTGTCATTACTGTCACAGTTGGGCCTCAGAATCTTCTACTGTAATACTGTGTGAGGACCTGGAACTAATTAAAATGTACTTTTATTCTGAAATTAAAAAAACAAGTACAGTAGTGCTTTAAAGAGGATCCATGATGCCATCAGTGGAGAAGGTTGACAGATGCTGTTCCCACAGTTTTTGCATACGTCATGCACAGAGAAAATGATTATTACCATCTTAGGTTGTTTATGGTCATACACTTTCAAGGTCTGAGAAGGTTAAGCTTCACAAAAGTTAATCTTGAAACAAAGAAAATAACTTTAAGACTAAAATAAAGAATAATGGAGCAGATGTTACAAAGGCCCACATCAGTAGAAATGTGTTCTTGCTACTGTTTCTAAAAATCTCAGCAGTTAATTCTTACAGTTATAACACAATGTGAGAGAAGTGCATATGTTCACACTATTTAGTTTTCTTTATGTTTTATGTTGTTCATATCTAAAGTGACAGTCCAATCCATAGAAGTTACTAGAATCTAGTTTTCCTTTGATTTCAATCATCATCTGTCCCCTTAGAGTTACCTTTCAGGCCCAGGTATGTGACCCACAACTCTAGATTATGAGGCTAATACACCCCCCTCCTTGAATGAGGTGTGTTACTGAAATAAATAAAAATTACTGCATTATTTTCAGATTAAATCTGTACTTTGAGACCATATGTTTCATAACTAAAATCCTACACTGTTGACTGAATTGTTACTTAACACCAAAGTCGTGATCCACATTTTATGACTTTCTCTCAGTGTGAAGCTCAGCTGGGTCCAGAATTTTAACAATACTGAGATTTTAGTTCCAAATTTCACCCGCACTATCCAGCCCACACATGACATTTTTGACAAGCTGCTTGCCAAATTCAGAAAAATAATTCTGTCTTTATGAGACAATCACTCTGAAACGGGTTCCATATTTAGGTTGATTTTTTGAAAGTGATTTTTTCTTATTTTCACATTTATATTTATTTACTCCAGTCTCCCTCGGTTATTTTCTTCCTGCATTCTGGTGGAGAAAAGACATATCTTTCATTTAAAGTTGATTGAATTGTTTTTTGCTTTAAATATGACATTTAGGTTAAAAAATAAAACAATCTACTGTGAAAAAAACACACAACGTTCACATAGAACATCAATGAAATTATAAAACTGTACAATTTACAGTTTTACTATCCAGAAAATAACTTAATTTAGGTCTAACTTGAAACTCAGAGTCATTTATCTCCTTAACCTGACTTAAAATATTTAAAAAACTGTCAGAAAGTTAAGAAGAACCCCAGAATAATGGTGCTTTACAGTACTGTCTCCTCCTGTGAGGTCTAGAACTCAGAGAGGATCTCAACAACACACACGCGCGCACACACACACACACACACACACACACACACACACACACACACACACACACACACACACACACACACACACAGTCAGTCCTGACAGCTGTCACTCCCATCAGCCACCAGTGTGTCTCTGCTCTTTGCTTGACAACAGCCAGGCGTTTCCTGTCAGATGACATATGCCTGTGCCTGTCTCTGACAGTTTCCTCTCTCAGACCCCGCGGCCACTCCAACTCTCAGCCCTCTCATGCTGGTGGCTCCGCAAACATGATCTCTGATGTCTCTCAGGCAGCTAACTGATGCTGTCACTGCACCAAGATGTAACACAAGCCTCTGACAAACACATTGTGACAAGGACATACATGCACAGCAGTGTGTACACTGCACAGACACAGCCACACACACACACAAGTACAAGTGCTTATGCCTCGTCGATGAGCCAGACGACACTGCTGCAAGTACAACCTCAACTCACTTTTTATTTTCTCCTCGGCTCTTGAGAAGGTCAGCTGCTCATGATAACTGTCACAAAAGTCAGAATTAGAATTTAAACTCATTTAGTTCACTATTTCACTTATTTTGAGGTTTCATATGTTAAAACATTTTATCAAACAGGCCCGTCTAAAAATATAAAATGGGAAAAAAATCCTTTCAAACTGTTTTTAATAATATTGCAAACTGCTGTCAGATAACGGGACAAGTCCATAATATGAAGCTGCTTCTATACTATATTGAGATGTATACAAAGGAGAAGGTAATAAAGGACATTTTAGGACAGATGTTTGAATTGGTTAAGGGTCAAAAATTCTTGAATGATATTATTATTATAATAGCCTACATAAAGAAGTCAGACACAATGTGTATAACAATCAAAACACGAGAGATCATGACACACCAGCTCCTCAGCTTTTTCTTGACCTTGCCTGCCATCTGCTGGTAGAAATGGTTTACTGCATTCAATGACTAGAGATTAGTATAATTCTTCTATTACCCCAATTTTTATTTAATTGGCATCAAAACCTCAGTGAAAGAGATCAGAACAACAAGGTAAGGAACACAAACAATAACAGACCTCTATAAGATGTCCAGAATCAAACGTTCTATTTTATTCAATTAGATAAATCCTTATAAGTCCTCTGTACAGAAACTCGTAAAATTTATCGAAAAAAAATATTCTGCTGGTCTTTAAATGATCAGTTTGATCAAATCAGAGAAATTCAGTGCAGCTCTGCTAAACTGACGTTTCAGGTTAAGAAGAGATATAAAGAAAGGGAGCTTGATAAATTGAAAAAAATATATTTTTTTAAAGTTTTTGTTTTTTTCTTGTCAATAGAGAAGACCGGACTACTTTTAATAAATGACACATTGTTGAGTAAACCATCTGTACAGTGCAGTGTTTCACTTCAAGAGGTGTTGAGACGGAAGAGCATAATCAGCTCATATAAACCATTTGTCAGATAACAAGATCTAAACCTGTTTTTTTTGATTGCTTGAAATTGTACACTCATGATCCTTAATTACTCTTTGTACAGTATAACTGTCTTAATTTTACCAATTCTACTCAAACCTCTAAAATGACACCATGTGTGGAGCTGTTTATTGGCAAGAATCTGCCAATATGCTAATATAAAACATTGGACTTATACAGTATATGCTATGTTATGCTATGCTATGTGATATGTATGTACTTTTCTGAATAGCTGTAGTGTAACTTTATATAGTAACATGATCCTTATTGACTGTGACAGCTTCACTGAAATCACGCTACATAATCTTTGTTTTTACAGAAATGTTTTCTTGTGAATTCTAATCAAGTGTTGCATATGTCTGCCAATTGTTAATGTCAACCCGGTGTGTATTTTGGGTGGTGATAATGACAACAGCACTATCATAAATTAAATCTACATTGACCAACTTTATTTATTTTTACAGTCAGACAAAAAGTGTAACTGGAGAAAATAGAAATTCTGTTACAACATATCAACATAACCTATGAAACATGTTTACATGGTCACAAAAATGAACTCAGTGAGAGCTCAACTTGAAGCTTTAGGTTTGCATAAAAGTTTCCATTTGCATAAAAACCCCTGCCTCACTGTTTCCTGTTGTTCCTCCTCGGCTGACCTGTGGACAGCTGTCAATCACACCTCCTGCAGGAGCCTCACTCCCTGCTCACCCTGTATTAGGAACCAAAAACCCTTATTTTTGTCACATTTTCTGTTGTTACTACAAATATCAAGTACTTGGGAGTGTTCAAATTCCACTCTGAACAAACAAAAAGACCATTTAATAAACAATCATTTACAGTATTTATAAAAACAAAACCATTTTCCACACAGATCAATCATCCAATAATAAAAGATGTATTCTCAAGATCTCCCAAGAATCCACAAGTTGATGGCTTTTTTATCAAATGCATAGACGACTTCTCTATGGGAGACAAACACACTGAATCCAAACTAAAATATCAACATACTAAAACAAATCTGCAAACAGGAAACACATGAAAAATAAATTGAAAATGAGGTGGATTTCCAAAATCAAAATCAAAAACTACATTTCAGTAGCTTGACTGGCAGATGTAACACAGGGCCACATCAGTAGAAATTGTTCTCACTACAGTTTCTACATCTAGAAATCACAGCATTAAATCGCTACATCTCTAATACAACGAGAGAGAAGTGCACATGTTCACACTACCTATCTAATAGGAGAAAAGAAGGAGAAATGTCAGCTACTCAATGTCAGGAATCAACAGGAAACGTGTTTCACAGTAAACTTGTTCGTCTGACTGGCTACGTGATGACCACTAGTCTGGGTCGATTTCTCTGGACTCTGGACTTCAGTTTTGGCAAAATGTGAATATATGTTCCACGGGTAAACAGGGATATAAACCATGGCTCCACCCCTTTGGTTTGACATCAAAGTCTCATGTCACGCTGGTATTAAAAAAAGAGAATGATTTATTGCTATCTAATGTTGTTGGTTTTCACTGAATTTTTTCATTTTAAGTTTCAGACTTGACTTGAGCTGTTAACTTGACTGAATCAGATTCACTTCAGATTGTAGAGGAAGATAGAAAATGCTTAATACCCTTAAGATGCACTCTAGTATGAATGTGTGTGGGTATGTTTTCAAGAATAAAAAAAGACAGTTTTTATGGCTCTTCCTGCAGAAAGTCACCTCAAGAATGTTCCAACTGAATGTGACTATGCGTGATTGGCCATCTATCACAGAAGCCCCACCCCCTACAGGCTGTGGTGCTGTGAAGACGATCATTGTGTATTTTATGGGTTCACAGTTCAAATCTTTTGGTATAGAATCATTTGAATTTAGAAGAGGAGTGTTGGCATTACAACTTAGTTGAATCAAAAGAAGTAGATAAAGGTGGTACATGAAGGTCGATATCTTTTTAAAGGTTCAGTCACTCGAGCTGTTGTTTTTGAAAGATACCTGGTTTGATGTTAATAATAACACGGGCAGGGTTTGCAGAGTATCCATTAAAAGTTCATCATTTAGAAAATATCTGGTCCAGTGTAGCTGTAGTCATGTTTAGAGGAAATATTTTAGTTGTTTTTCATTTAGACTGTCTGCTTAAGAACTTCTAGATCACAACTTCCAGTGTGAGAATCATGGATCAATGGACTCTGCTCAGATGTATCTCTCATTAATCCAGCCCATGCACCCTTACAGAGGAAACAGGACTTGGTTTGAAAACAGTGAAAGGGAAATCGTATCAAAAAACTCTGACTGAGCTCTTCAATCTTAAATGAACGAATGACAACTTATAACTCTGAAATCAGTCTTATTGTATAAATAGAAATATAATACTCAAGTGCACTGTTACATATGTTGAGACAATGACTACAGTACTCATCCTGAAACAGAACATTTATTGGCTCTTGAAGAAAAGCTTATATTTGTAATCATCTGAAGTTTTTTTTCTGGTGGCATCCTGACATTTGGTCTTTTCCTAAATGTTTTGATCTCACCAGCATCCCCTCATAGTCATCGGTATCTGTGTGTCTTAATCCATAATATTGTGCTCTTCTCCACGTGAATGTAGCTTCACATTTCATTTCCACCCAAGCTGCCCTCCCCACCCCCAGTGTTTATTTGTACAATAAACTCAAACAACCTCATTTAAAAGAAACATATCTTCATATGTGTTTATGCGTCCAACATATCTACAGTCTTAACGAACAAAAAGCATGCATGACACCTCAAACTAAACAACCATATAACAAAATAAGGGTCCACCTCATTGTTTTGCATATGTTGTGCATTATCCAGGAAGCCTGTGTTCTTTCAGGAGTTATGGCTGATTCCTTTAAAGAACAGACACCGTGCAGGCTGGAAGCCAACAGGAACACAACGTGAATCTTCACGTTCCTTTATGAAGAGACCCTGAGGAGGAAGAGGAGCGGCTGTTCACCTGCGGGAGACAAGTGAGAGGCACACCAGTTAGATTTCATCCAACAACACTGAGAGGGAGCAAGTGTTCCAGTGAGTTAATCCTGTAAATGCATTCGAAAGATTTACATTTCTCTTCAAAATCACATTAATCTAAATCTTCACACAATTTATGATACTGTTTAAATTTGTACATACTGAAGGAGGCATCTGTATTTTTGATTTAGGACAGTTTTGAACACACTTGAATCAGAAGTAGTTATTGTAGCTTTGATTTATAACTGGAAATGATGTTTCTACATCATAAAGAATATGATATATTAGGAAAACAAAAGTAGATTAAGCGTCAGATGTTAACTGATATATTTGTTATCCAATATATTTCTGATAACTTTTTGAAAGGACATGTTAGGTATAAAATTATGCTCTTGATATTTAGTTACAGAAATTATGACTCTGACTTGTTTGCAGCACATGAAATAGACTGTGACAGCTAGCAGACGATGGTCCATACACTGAGTTACTAGCTCAAGAAAAAAAAGCCCTTGTGTTTATTCCAGATGAAGAATTAGCTGTATCTGCTGTCATATCGCTAATCCTTGATTTTAACAGTGGCTACCCACAGGTTGGGCTGATATAATGAAGGAAAGATTTCAGGTAACTCAATAGCTTGGTATTATCACACCACCTCCATTTATTTATGTATCACCAGGATCAACCTCTTCTTTAGACAACAGTGTTTTTTTGTTTTTACTTTTTTAAACCTGTACAGTACTGATTTGGCTACAGAATGCTCACTAATGTAAAGCTGCCAATTAATACAAGAGTGGAACTTGTGCTGTCTTGATGTAAAGGGTTAGGTCAAAATGACATTTAAAACTAACAAATAATCTTTTATGTGAATTGAGATGGGTTATTTTTTACATCCCACACACAGTGCAATCCATATTATCTGATTTGTTATCCCTCACTCCTTCGGACTGAGAGCATTTCTGTAGTTTTTAACAAGTTGCCCACGTATGACTCCAGGGGAAAGAGGAGGAAGCTAGAACAGTAGTAGGTAGCATCAGGGTAGGCCTGACTGACAGGCTGATGACACACCATATGGAGATGCTTGGTGAGTTTTACCCTAAGGGGGGGCAACAATGTTTTTTTATCATGCGTTTGCCTCATCCTGTCAGCCTCTCCTTCCAAAATGAGAAGTGAAGAGACAGCCAGGTTGTGGAGGTAGACAGCTAACACACACAAACACACGATAATAAGCAGAGACTCGTGCACAGAAATGACGGACATCGACAAAGTACAGGCCTGAGAACGAGCACACACAGTTGGTGTAACCACACTGTATGTACTTGTGAGAAACGTTTTTGCTGTTCTTAACTTTGACACGTAATGGACAGAAAAGGTCTTATTCTGCATTATACATTATAGTTTAACTAAAGGTTACATCTCTGTCCACCACAAACAGACCTTAATCATTGACAAGAAATACATGACACACTATCTTATGTAATGCTTTCTTATAAGGATAAAGGTTTGGTACTCCTCCCAGATCCTGGTCCATCACTTTGGTTAGCTTTTTAGCTAGTTCTAAAAAGATAATGATTTGAATTACCAATCAGGTGACATTCTTATCAGAGCCACACTGAAACAGCATCTCCCATCTTTTTAGGAGGTCTTTACACAAGGCAGTACTGCTTTATATATTCTATCTTTATAATTTAATGCACAATCACTTAATTAAAAGTATCTCTTAAGCGCTCATATAAATCAAGTTTGGTTTATTGATTCTCAATTCATACTATTCTAATATCAAAACTACAAAATGAGTGTCTGCAGCAGAGCATATGTACATACCTGTTTGGACACTTCAGAAGATGAATGGACTTCTTTCCCATAATTTCCATTTAACTGCAACATTGCTGTAAATGAAAATATAACAACATCATGTACCTATACATATCTCTTTAAAATGTTATCATGTTATTTAATAACGGTAGAGTATCACTCATCCTTAAGTCGAAAACATCATAACCTCAGAAGTGAATCATTATTTTATTTAAATGTTCATTATATTCCACTTTCCGTCCTGAAGAACTCAGGACACAGTAATTATCTGCACATTTATGGTACATCAACATCCAACAGAATCTCTTTCTCACCTTGTGGATCGATTCTGGGGTCAACAAACCCCCAGTGCTGGTAAACAGCAGCCAGATCATGGGGACTGTAGTTCTTCAGGAGACTCAAAATATCAATGTCCATTGGCATTTCTCCTGCTGCTTCATTCTTTCCCTGAGCGAAACGGAGAGGTTCTAAATATGCTTTGTGACCCCATATGTTCATGGCAGCCCACAGATCTGGACCCTTAGCACCTGAAGACGAGTCACACGACTGCCTGCGAGGATGTGGTCTATCTGGGGCAGCATTAGAGGAAGTCCCACCATGGCTTCTGGCCAACATAAAACCTAAACCCTCTTGTGGAAAGTTTGCTTCCACTGCGGCTCTGTGGCCTCTGTGTTTGGGGCTGCTTGTAGGCTGGGAACTATGGGAACTCTTGCTGTGCACAGTACTGCTGGATGACTTAGCTTGGGAGCTTTTACTTCCCCCTTCAACTACCCGGTTATGTTCACCAGACTTCTTTTGGGGTAGGAGTCCCATCCTCCCACTCGACAGTGAGCCATCTGAAGAGCGAGAATCCTTTGACTTTGACTTAGGGGCACCTGATTGGGTCTTGGGGGTTGAGTTTTTGCTGTTGGTTGTAGTTGTGACACCTGGAGGTTGTGTGCGCTGTGTTTTTGGAGCTGGTAAAGTCGGGCAGTCCTTGCCTTCGAGGAATGGCGGAGGCCCTGTGCGTCTCCAGGGGGTCGCCCCGGCCTTTAAACTCTTTGGGCTGTTAGTGCAGGGTGCCCACTTGGGTGCCACGGAGCTGCTGCCATCGACCTTGTGTGCAACCCGCTGATGGATCCAAAGCACCTCTAGATAGGTGCTAGTGTGGGAACAGTACGGGCACTGATGTCTCAGCAAGCCCTCTGTTTTTAACTTGTGATTAACAGTTCCATCTCCATTAATTGGTAATGACGACAGATTAAGAAGATTTCCAGCATCAGTTGTAGTTTGTCCCTGACCTTTGACCTCAGTGCCATTTGACTTTTCTGTTTTAATGTCCTGGACAGGCGGACATGTGTAAGGATTCCAGTATGGCTGACTGAGCAACGCGCTCCTATTTCTGAGGTAGTCCATGTATCTCGAGGCTTTGGAGCTACTTTGGCTAATGTTGTCCAACTTGGTGCTGTGTTTGCTGTAGGGAACCAGGAGGTCCTGGTGCTGCAGGAGCAGGTGAGACCTGAGTAGTGAGGCATCAACAGTGTGGAAATCACAGTACTCACAGAAGAATGGTTTCTTATCTGTAAGTAAGAAAAAAAAACAACAATGTAAAGGACAACAATGTAAAGGACATGCATAGTGGCTCTGATATTCTTCCTACAAAGAAGAAACTCTAAGTCTAGTTGAAAAAATTCACTTAGCTAGAGAGACGAGGTGTAACACATGTTGCCTGCCACAAAAGCAGGATTACTCGACCACTGGAAAAAAGTATTCTTAACAGACTGATTGACTCATTTCATAACATATTGCTCCCAACTCTCTGTACAGCTGATTCAAGTGTACAAGAACCTACAGAGTTGTGTGTCTTTCAGAACCACAATTACTTTGGTTAAAAAAAACTTCTTACTTCATATGTTGTGTTCAGTAATATCAGCAAACAAAATACTAATTTCCCTATGAACAGTATTTTGTGATGAAGCATTCTAGGTTCCATTTAAAATGTTTGATGAACTATGGGAGGAAACATTAACCTGAATGTTGTGCATTTTGAATCTCTTTGTTGTGTAGTGCAGTACAGTCGCTGTAATAGATTATAATCACTAGAGGTCTCCCTTTTCCACATTGTAATGTTACACATTACATGCTCTAAATCTTTAAATACTGAATTTGAACATAGAATGCCTTGTATTACCTTAAGATATTATCAGAAGAGACATTTGGTCTGTCTGCATTTAAACAGAAAGGGCCGCCCAATTCAAAGAAACATCATTCTCATGTTTCCTCCACTAGTCCATATTGCAGCACAGATATTGTGATATGATATGTATGACCTACCCTCCTGGTCTTGGCTTCTGATGCTGTTGGTCTGTTTAGCTGTGAAGTGTGCATCTTTCTTGGCCTGCAGCGCCTCATAAAAGGCATGACCCAGTCCGTTCAACAGTATACGGTCCTTCTGGCAAACTCTCTTGTCACCTCCTTTAGTGTGAGCCGAGCTGTGTGTCTGATCAAGGCCTGTATCACCCTTCATCTTCTTCATTTTGGAGTTAGGGGTGTCGATTTGCTTCCTCTTCTTCTCTTGCTTCAGGGGTACATATTCACCCTTTTCTGTGTCATATGCCACCTCAGCATCGGCGAGCCTCTCCTCCCATCCGAGACATTTCTCGGTGACCTCCACAAGTCTTCCCTTTGTGGCCAGCTGCCACGACTGGTAGCTACAAATTGGATCCAGCTCTGGAAGTCGCCTACCTAGACTCTTTTCCTCCTGATTTTCTCTTTGTCCAACACAAGTGAGGTTCAGGCTTTTCAAAAAATGCGTCTTAGCATCATGTGGCTCATGGGCGTCAGAATCTTCCTGTGCTGGATTTTGTGCCTGAGCGCGGCTGTGGCTCAGCTTGTGTAGCTTTTCGTGAATTCGCAATGTCTTTCTGTCAGGGAAGAAGTTACCACAGCCGGCACAGAGCTCATAGAGGCACTCTTCATTTATGAGCGATGCCGGTTCTTGAGGAACTCCGTTTATAGTGGCAGGGGGGTCGTTGCTTTTGCCGCCTTTTAGCTGGGCTTTGACTCGGTGAATGCGCATATGACTTTGAAGGAACCACGCTTGCCGAAAACGACGGCCGCAAATTCGACAGCCGTGATCTTGTGAGCTGCGGTGCCTCTTCATGTGCGATTTAAGGAGCAGTACCTGAGGGAAAACCTGGCCACAAATGGTGCAGGAACAGGACTCATCATCAGCACCAGAACTATTTTTACCCTTTACTTTTTTCTTGGTATCTTTCTTCTTCAACTTCCCGTTGACCTTATGAGCAGTTGTGCTGACGATCTCAGGAGGGTCTGGTGTCTCACTGTTGTTTTTCTGCTCTTGTTCTACTTCCCCCTCCTTGTCACTGAGGTTCTGGCTGAACAGGCCCAGTTTGTGGCTACGAATGTGGGCCTTCAGGCTTCCCTTCTGCGCCGTCCTGTGCTCACAGTACGGACACTTGTACGGCTTCTCTAGCGTGTGTCTTCTCATATGCTGGGACAGAGAGCTGAGGAGAGGGAAGCTGCGGCCGCACACCCCACAGGTGTGACCAGAGCTCGCATCTTCCTCTGTTTCTTTCTTTATTTTAGCTGTGGGTTTTTGAGAGATACCCTCCCTCTCTTCTGTTTCCATTACTCTTCCTGAAGCAACAATATGTATGCAATGAATCCTTTAAACTAAAAAAAAGTTTATCTTCCAAAAGTTAACAAATTCTGAGCATGATCATCAAAATCTTGGTGAACATCACAGCTTTGGTGTCACTCCGGATTTTCCAAGAGATGGTCTTCATCCAGTCAGACTCTTTTGGTAACCTGAAAACAGAAGAAGGATTCAAAATAAGCAATCTTATAATGTCAAAAGAAATCACATAAAACAAGCACTAATGACCAATACTAAGTCATTTCATTTAAATATTAAATTATTTCAAGAAGCTGCCATTAATACCACAGAACTGCTTTTCAACGATGACCAATTCTCTTTTTTGCCAAAACACAATCAGCATGGGAAGGTAAGATGACACAAAATAAGATGCTATACATAGATAATATAAAATGATATACATGAATTAGCTTATTTCTCTTCTCTCTTAGAGTTACTTTATAACAGAGCATACAACTCAAGAAGCACCAGGCACAAAACATGAAAATCAAGTTCTAAAAAAGCTAATGTTAATATACAGCAAGGCAAAAGAAACCAATGCCACCAAAGAAATCCCCCAAAATGACATTCATAAGAATAAAGTCAGCAAAAAATCAACAATCCTTGAAGCAACAAATACCACAATTAAAATAGTTTTTCGTAAAGGTGAAGCGTTGAGCAAGGGGACAAAGAACAGCTTTAAACTGAACATAAAAGTGTTATAGCTTCTTTTTTTTGACACGTTAAATTAATGACCTAAAACATTCAATAATGAACATGAGGTAGACCCTGCTTTTTATAGTTCTGTAGATATAATCTGTTAAATGGATGGTAGTTCTGGTCATAAGGCTATAAAACAAATCGCACTTCTTTGCTCCTTTTTGCTGACATGTAGGTCAACAAGGAGTGAGGTAATCTCATTCAGTAAGTTTAAAAACACACATGCACTTCGGGAAACATCCCTCTGAGGTCATTTGCATCACACAGATTTTAGAATAACCTTCGTCCTTAGTGTATGAGCGACGCCTGTCTGTGCGTATTAGAGCGCGACCCAGTGTCTCAACATGCGTGTGCGTGTCTGCCCTTTGGTTGCCTCTGCCTAAATTGAGTGTGTTAGGTGGAGCATGAAGAGATGTATTCATTCCTGGCCGACCAGGATGAACCCTGAGGGGGCGGCCCTCTCTAATTCACGATCAATAATCCATTATCAACAAACTTCATGTTTAGAAGCTCACAGACAGGCACACACATAGCCATGATTCTGTGATGGCATAAGTTGTGAAAAAAGGTAAAAAAAATAAAAAAGGTACATTTCTAATAGATCAGTTACAATAGTGTGAGAAAGATGACAGAATTAAAACCCTCATAAATGTGAGGCAAAGTATCTCAGCAGCCAGAGAGATCAATTTGACATCCAAGACTGTCAGAAGAATCTGGCAGAAACAGAACTCTGTTTAACACATGAACAAATGAGTACCGTATATGGCACAGGCTTGATGCCATGTGTGTAAACATGATCCTCAGGCAAACATGGCTATGTGTTAGATGCTAACAGTGAAAGAAAGTAGTCTGTGGTGAATAGCCAGCCAGGCAGTCAAAAGAAAAACCTGCTATTGTGTTGGCCGCACCAGAACTGTCACATCGCCTCATGTCTGGCCCTCCACCCCTCATTGGGGGGTCGAGGGAGGTATTGTTAAAGCAAAGAGGCCTGGGCCTGCACATCACTGTCTTCTAATACATGTCTGGGCAGAGAGGCAGGACAAAAGACCACTCCAGTTTGTCTTGTCAGTGAGGTAAAACATACACATTTTAAGGCTAGAAAAAGAGCTGACTGGCTTGATTTTCAGGGGATGATGTTCGTCTAATTATGTTTCTGCATCCACAGTCACATCTGTCTACATGCAGGCCTGCTTGCATGCATTTCGTCATGTGTGCTGATCCGCTCATGCTGTATTGGGTGTTGTTTCTGGGATATGGGAGGAGTTTAGTTTAGAGATTTTTTTTTTTCGGACTAGCAGGTGTTTGGAAGGCAGACGCCATCAGATTAGTGCATGGGCAATGTGGCACACTGTCTCTAAGAGAGGGGGAGGATGTGCAGGAGAAACTGGAGGGTGGCAATTAAGGGGTTAAGGTTAAGGTGAATGTAATGAGTTAACACAATGGGGATAAAGTCAGAGAGCTCAGGGCAACAGATGGGAATAAACGGGCCATCAGTGTGGGGTTAGGCGCCTCTACAGTATGAGCTTATGCCTTTGTTAAAGCAGCCTACGTGCTTAGTGTGAACTATATATTTACATCTGCAATATCCTACTTTTGCGCAATTATACACGAAAATGTAGTCTGTTTGATTCAAAAATGGATCTTATTTAATATTTGAATCCCTCTTTTCCCTCCCCATCTATGTTTGTCTTTCTATTTTTCCACCTCCTCTGCTTTCATCCCACATTAATGAAAAGCCCTTTGGAGGATCTGTAAAGTAATGCAGATAGCCAAACATGTTGCTCCAGGGCTTAATTCATTTCTTTTAGAATCCCTGGCTCCCTTTTTCTCTCCCTTTTCTTTGGCAGATGAATAGGCATGTCCAGTCAGCTGTCCTAGCATTGATTCATCCTGACGTCCCAACCAGCTCAGCACAAACTCCCTATGGTCAGGGCACTGATGCTGAGTGCTGTGATGTGTGTGCTTGTATGTGCACTTGCATGAAAATATCCACTGTCTGTGTGTCGTGTGAGTATATGTGCACTGCCTGCGTGCTGGGTTGTTGCACTGAAACTGTGGGTGTAATTTTCTGCCAGGATCTGGAAATAGCATTTTTTCCTGAATTTGAATTTGCAAGATACAGAAGCATCCATCAAACAAAAATACCTCAATACCTGTTTGTTTTAAAAAAAAAACATAAAAAACATCTACTTATAGCCTGCCTTTGCAAAATTCTGCAACTGTAAAAACAATTACATGCAATATAAATTATAAATGTGCATGTAGGTATGCCTTTGTTATGTGTGTGTTTGTGTGCTGCAATCATCCAAATATTCTCAACAACCAGCAACAAGCCTGTGCCAATATACCCCTGACTGGAGATAGCATGTGACTGTCCTTATGCTTGTGTTCAGAGCCATAGTCACTCTCTAAGCCCCAGCTTGCATCTACTGTTATGTGTCCAATAATCCTGTCTGTTTCCAATCACTGTGAACACATCGCACAAAATCAAATCACTGTTAGTTGTTTTTTTTCAGCTGTGTATGAGCTATAAGATGGATATTCAAAAATGCTTTAAATAGGAATTCCTGTAGGCTGTGATCCAAATACAAACCATTCACTGCACATTTAAGGCAGTGACTGAAAAAAAAGACTACAACTCCTATAATTAGTGCAACATGCAGCTGGTCATGTCAGTCAACCTTTGACTCATATTTAAGATGTATTCTGCTATTCCAGCACTATACAGTATGCATATCCTTGTACTTAGTATGTACTAGCTTAAGATCCTGCACACGCTTTAAGGTGTGGAGGTTAAGAGTGTCCGATGATTTACTGACAGATTTAGTTGCATGAAAACAGCTGGCTTTTACAATGACAATATTAATCACATTTAACGACATAAAAAAGAAGAGGTTGCTTTTAGGTGAATAACTGTTATAGATGCCTAACATCAACCATTACTGACCCTAAAGGACCAATATCACCTCAACATTTCTCTGAGATGATCATTTTACCTTTTCATTAACTCTAACTGGAAGTCATTCTCTTCATGAAATAAAAGCCAGGTCAGAGAGACCGAACACAGACAGAGTGATGTCCCAGTTCAGGAGGAAAAAGAGGTATCTTAGTCCTTAGACGTTTTTTGGAGCAAGTGGGCAGAAATGAATTCTCAGCTGATTCACTGCTGATGCATTCGAGGATGACTCCTTCCCGATGTCTGGGAGTCGTCATGCAGGTACTTGCATGATATGACATGTTAAATGACTATCAAACATGAGTCAGCATGTGCAACATTGAGGTGATCTGCTACAGTGCGCAAAGTTAACCCAAATTTAAAGTTCATGAAAAAATAACCAAAGCCATAGTAGAACAAGAGAAGAATCAAGAATGCAAGACTAATCTCGAGTCATTTTGTCTTTTTGCCTTTTTCCTGGTCAAGAAGATTAGATGCTTGTGGCAATAATACATTCATGATTTTAAAAGATTCAGGAGGCTTATCTCACTCTAGCGAATGAAGGATATGGTGCTCTTACAGCACCCCTGTGACTTCATAACAACCATCTTAGAACAAGGTGCAGTGAATAGTGTTGTCACTATAAAAACTTCATATACTTACTATTTACCAATCACTATTCTGTGATTTGAATGCCCACAATATAAGTAGGACTATATGGGCAAGATCCTGGCAATAAGAGTTGTCAACATAAAGGAGTACAGTTGTGCATGTTATGTAATGCATAACATTCTATGCTGTAGGCAAGCCAAGGTGATATAATATTGCAGTTTTCCCTGATTATGTTTTTAAAAAAACATCACTATTGCATTGATTTCCTTTTTTTTTTTTAAAAGGTAAAAATATGGAGAAATTCAAATTGTATTCAAATCAAATCAAATCTTATCATTTGTATCTTATCGTATGTTCCAAACTGCCTTTTATGCAATCAGGACAAAATAATCATCATTTGTCCGTCTCTTTGAATAAAAAAATGGACATCCATCCATCCAGCCATGGATGGGCTGCATGGTGGTGCAGTGGTTAGTGCTGTGCTTATATGTTCTCCCTGAGAATGCGTGAGTTTACTCCAGGTACTCTGGCCTCCTCCCACAGGCCAAAAACATACTTGTTAGGTTAACTGATAACACTCTAAATTGCCTGTAGGTGTAGGTGTTTGTCTCTGTATGTCAGCCCTGTGATTGAAGGACTAGACTCGCATTAGAGACGTCCCAGTTAATCGTCCAGCTGATAATATCTGCCGATATTAGCATATCCAGTGACTATCGGTATCGGCTAATTTTATAACAGATATGCGCAGATATTACGGGATTTATTCACCAGTCAAAAATAATTTCATTTTTATCATTGTATCACACTAGTAGTTATCATTCTGGCTGCCAAGAGCCGTGTGTGCTATGTGTTGTTGTTGTTGTGCTATGTGCTCTA